GCTGGGTTCTGGGCAGTGGGAGGGGCGGGGGGCGTGGTGAGAGGGGGCGAAGCGAGCAGGCGCGTGGGCTTCTCGGTGACCGGCAGAACCTCGCGTGGGGATGTGCGTCCGATCAGCGGCACGTCAGAGCTCGTGTTACCTGCGGGAGAAACCAGCGTGAGCGCGGGGCACCTGGGGGCACAGGAGGGCCCCCACAGACCCATCTTTGGGTCCACCTCCACCACCTGCAATGTTCATGGACATTTGCAGGTCACACTCTGGCTGTGTGACTGCCAGGGTCCCCAGTGTCAGGATCAGCTGAGACCCTGACTGTGCAGACCCTCGCCAGGCGCCCACTCTGCCCACCGCTGTATAGCACCCAGCACTGAGACCCAAGGTGTTCAAGAAGACCCCAGGAAGGAGGAAGCCAGGATGCAGAAGGAGCAGAGAAGCCCTGTGGGGTCCTGCGCACAAGCTCTCTGCCAGGACCCGCAGTGGGTCTGTTCACCACTCGCCCCTGTGCACCCTCACCTCTAGCCCCAGAAACGTCCGAGAGAAAGGCCAGCTTGTGTACCAAGAAACCACTTTGCTAGCCCAGCCAGCATGACTGCATCCCCTAGCTGGACTGATACTCACCCCTCTCCAAGTGTCCACAGGAGAGAAAAACAGCTGTCACTGCTTCAGTGGAAAGAACGTGAAACCCCCATGAACGAGTCTGCCCAACCTGTGCTGGGGGAAGTCTTGTTTTCCATCTCCTCCCACGTTCCCGCCAAACATAAGGCACACGTGAGATAAGCCCCTAAACCCTGCCCAAGGGGGCTGGACCCCCTTCCCTGCAGAAGGCAAAGTGGGGGACCCACTGGGACCCAGCAATAGCACCCCTGCAGCGCCTACTGAATGGGGACCTTGTCCTTCACCCGCTGTCCTTGCCCACCGTCCTCCTTGCTTCGCCCTGTCCTGATCCAGGAGGGCGCCCCCACCACAGTGCCTACAGCAAGGATGTGGGCACACCAGCCGCGCTCCTCTCTGTATGAGGGTAAAAGGGAACAGCTGCTTCTCTCCTGGGCTCACTTTTGTCATGTTGGTTTTTCCCAGGGCCCCAGGGCCTTCAGGGAGAAAAACAGATGCTCCCTGTGCACGCGGCACTTGAGCCCAGCGCATGCCCCGTCCCCTCTGAGCTTGTGATTTAGATCCATGGGCTGACCACACAGATTAAACACCCATCTCAGAGTAGTTAGTGATCAAAGGGACAACCTAAGAGTAAATTCTAATCAATAAGCTGAATCATTCAAATCCTCAGACAGCTCTGGATCCCGACATCCCAGCTGGAGAAGCAGAGACTCGGATGGTCTCCTAAGCAGTGTTTGGCTAGAACAAGAGGCTTGTAGAACAGGCTTAGCAAGAGGAAGAGCAGCAGCTAGAGAAAGTCTGCAGAGTTTCAGGTCCAGGGCCAAGAGAGAGGCAGATGCCTGGGGAGAGGAGCTGAGGAAAAAGCAGGCATTAGGGGCTCGGGAAGGGCGAGGAGCCAGTTACATGTGCGTGGACTCAGGCATAGTGGTGTGGGGCTGCTCCTTGGGGCCCTCAGCCAGCAGGACGGAGTCCACGGACTTGTTGCTGAGGCGGAAGGGAGCCAGGCGGTGGAAGTTGTCAGGAGAGTGGGGGATCTGCATACGGGCCCTCTGGGAGGGCACTACTGTCTCCCCAGGAGACAGCCAGGGTGGCACCCTGGACAGGATGCTCAGGTCCTCATCCGGGGAGAACACAGGGTTGTCAATTCCTAGGAGAAAGGGCAGTGGCTGATCAGCTTCCCAAGTTACCCAGATGGCAGGAGGGAGGGTGCTGCCCAGGGGTCTGACATCAGCACATCCTGCTGCCATCACCTGGAGGTAACCTGGAAGGTCAGGGTCATGTGCTTTTGGGGTTTCAGGTCCTCCACCCCATGATCTCCCCACATCATAGGCAGGATCATGACAGCTCCCTTATCCCAGAGCAGAGACCCCCAGCCTGCCACGTGCAGTTGCACAGCCACAGTCCTACTGTCCTACTGCCCCTGTCCAATCACTGAGTTCACTTCTGAGGCAGCAGGGGGCCACCCCTATCCCCTCACCTGAGGGGGAGTCTGTTGCTATATCCCTTGTGACATTCGCCAGGAACTCGATCCCCCCACTCATCTCCTCAGCATCGTAGTTGGGAGTCTCTTCCTGGTCTGAAAGTTCCAAATCTGGTGGCAAAGAAAGGGCAGCACAAGGGAAACAGGCTGGAAACACAAATGACCCAATGCTCCTAGAGTACCCTGAGAGTTGTCATTACTGCCACTCCTACAAGCAGGGTAGCAGCCTGCAGAGGAGGGTCCTGGGTGCTGCGTGAAGGATCTCCCTCCAAGGACAGCCCTCTGCACCCTGCCTGGCCCCCTGCGCATGTCCCCAAGGTCCTGCTGACAAGCATTTCTGCCATGGCTCCCATCCGTACCTTTTTCCTTAATGGTGAAATTGTGCATGGGGCTCTCCATTGGCAGTTTCCCATTAGGAATACTGCTGTTTCTCTGAAAAACAGAACAAAACCCCTTACAGGTAAGGGTGCAACGGCCACGGGGACCCTGACTGCAGATTGTCCCCAGGAGACCCCACTGGCCTACAGCCCAGGGCCCTCCCTGCCCAGCCCTGTCCCTGAAAGGGGTGCCTTGGCTGTTCCGTCTCTGATCAGCATGGTCCCACGGTGGCCTCAACGCCACGAGCCCCACTCGCGCGGCACCCCCGCCCCACCTGCC